GGGAAGACTTCAGGTCACAGTGACCATGACGTTTGACCTATGACCACAAAAATGTAATGAGATCATCCTTAAATTAAAGTGAATGTTGGTGTCAAATTCGAAGAACTCTCCTTAAGGTGTACCTGAGATAACACCTTTATGAGAATGGGACAGGTTGGAGTGAGCTTGACCTTTGACCAGCAAAATCTAATCAGTTCATCCTTGAGTCTAACATTTGTGGCAAATTTGAAGAAATTTTCTCAAAGCGTTCCTGAGACGTTTTCACAAGAATGGGATAGACGATTGGGTGACCCACAAAGAAACATAATAGCGCAACTGTTGCTGGTCTGGAGGCAGAAGAATAGTAACATGAAGCACAGTGTGTTCCAGCTGAGCAGTCAGTATAAGCAAAATTTTGGTAATGTTGCTATTTCCTGACCCAAAAAAATCCACCGGAGAACTGAGCTGCATTTAATGTAAATGACAAATACTGTAGTAAAAATATCTGTACCATTGATAATAGGAGTTATCTCAGGTGTTTTTTTTATGCCCAAAGCTGCATATAGTGCTCAACCTTTTTCTATCTTGAGAAAGATGCAATTCGTCACTTTCGGCCAAATTTGGCTGTTAATGAAGGTTTATTAATATACAGTGTAGGATAGTTTGTGTGAGCATGTATGTAACAGTGCAGGTACAGCAGCAGTATGCACCATAATATAGTTGCACTGAATTCGATGTAATAAATTTCATTTTATTTTTCTCCCTCAGCTCTTTCAAAAGTGCCAGTTTATACAGAGAATCATGGATGCCTGGAGCTCCAATGAGAAGGAACAGTGAGTATTTTCTTCTCCTGCAAATACGACTATAATTTTGTTAGCTGAAAAAACATTTTATTATTATTTGCTGTACTAGAAGAGAGGAAAAACTACAATACCAAAAATATTGAAATTCTACCTCATTCTGAGAATGACAGAAGTGGGTTTAAATGTCAAGATCATACTGGTCATAGTTAAGATTGGTTAAGGGAGTGATGCTTGGCTGTAGTGTTGAAAATAAGAAATGATGTGTTTGTGTGTTTTAGGGCGAATGGTGGTCGGCGACGGGGCTACATGGGTCATCTCACCAGAATAGCCAACTCTGTAGTTCATAACTGTGACAAAGGCCCTAATGGACCGCAAATACAACAGCTAATTTCTGGTAAAGACTTGGTTCTTTGTTGAGGGCACATTCTCAATATCCTCATCTGTCTTGAAAATTATCTTCATCTGATATTCAGTTGAGACATGTAGCTCTGAATTGTATTTTGTGCAAATTCCTCATGTTGGTAGTAAGTGAGGAGAAATCTTCCTTCATCACTTAGGTCTCTTACAGCCTGTTTGTTAAAATAACCAGTGGCATCTGACATAGACTTGAGAGTACTTGTCTATAACGGTTTTGTGCAGTATGTGAAAACAGAGTATACTGAAAGAACGCTGTGTGTCTCTAACACAGAGCTCCCAGCAGAGGACAGAGAGAAATGGGAGGCCTTTATATCTGTACAACTGGCTGACATAAACAAGAGAAACACTGTCGACCTGGTGAGTAATGTAGCATTCCGATTCTTTTAACCATGCTAACTCTGAGAGACGAGGCAGTCCAAGTAACTTCAAAACAGTGCTGATTTATTCAATGAACACAGGTAAAAATTAACATTACACGCTCAGGTATCTTGCACCTCCAACATGCACGCAGGCAGCTGAAGAATGAAAGACCCTGAACCACAACAGGCCTATACATTATATCACTTAGGTTGGGCTAGCCCCATACTAACAGGAACGCCAAACCGTGACGTGTCCCGGTGCCAGCTTTGCAGCTGACCATGGCAATAGTCAAAACATGAAGAAAATCAATGTGTGTGTGTCTGTTGATTGTGGTGTGTAACTAAAAACATTCTAACACGACCTCTAGTGACATGTCATGACATTAAACATAAGAAAATATTATGGCTATGGCTACAGTTATACGCATCATAATAATAATAATATTAAACATCCTGTCTGCTGACAGTCAAATTTTTCTATCTAGTTATCCTTGACCATAAGCATCCTGCAGCATTCATGAGACTGCCTAACTAGACATCCTGTCTACTCTAAACATTCCTAATACAACAAGTATCTGACCAATATCTATCTGACTAAAAATACCTAACAGTAACCACATTAACATTGATGTCAAGCTAACTCGGGGGAGGGGACTGGCTGATCAATGCCAGTTCTTTACTTTTTCTCTACTGATGCTGTTGTTCACCTCATCTGTCCCTTCCTTTAACCATTACTGGCCTAACCCTAATCTTAACCTTAAACTAGGTCCTCTCCTTAAAATGTGTGGAGTCTGCATGTTCTCCCTGTGCCTGCGTGGGTTCTCTCCGGGTACTCAGTCTTCCTCCAGCAGTCCAAAGACATGCAGCTTAGGTTGACTGGCGACGCTAAATTGCCCCTAGGAGTGAGTGTGAGTGTGTGGTTGTTTGTCTACATGTCAGCCCTGTGATAGACTGGCAGCCTGTCCAGGGTGGACTCTGCCTCTCACCCAGTGTTAGCTGGGATTGGCTCCAGCCCCCCGTGACCCTGTTCAGGAATAAGGAGTATATATAATGGATGGACTTTCTTTGGACTACAGTCGTGTGAGGAAGACAAATCCTCACAGTGGTCTCCTAGTTTTGGATCCCCACAAGTATAGAAAAACAAGGCCACAGACACACGCAACCAGTCCTAAGTTTGATATCACCTCCATTTTTCCTATTGTTGTTAGTATAATTCAGCAGCCAAATACATGTGACATTCATTCTACATTTGAGATAAAATATTATTGGGATATATACCACTGCTGCAAAGTTCCCAGAGATGTGTTGCACTTGTAGGTTACTTTACGTTCCTTCTGATTTGGACTTTTTTTTTTTTTTCCTTCATGTGAAAACTCTGTACATGGTGCTGCCATTCCATCATTTAAAGCCTACGGTCTTGTTCTGTTCTTATACACAGCCTGGGGGTTATTTTTCGGTGTTTCCTCTGGTAACATTTCTCAGCGGTGCCCCGACATGGCAAAATCTTTGCTGCCATGGGAAAAAAAAAAAAATCAATCGAACTGTTCAATCATTTTATCAAGCACATTTCTGCAGTCAGTCGGCCTGGTGAAGACTTTTTCCGTGTACTGTCTTTGCAGCTCATCAGTAGCTTATGACTAACAGCTGCTCTGACGCTGAATGCACCAGTCAGGTTGTGGTTATGTTGTTAAGTGGAGCACTGATGAGCCAACTGTTGGGGACTTAAGTTTTGCAACCGCTAAAAGATACTTGGATTACAGCTGTCACTGAAAAATAACTAGCATATATACTATTCTATATAATACGCTAAACGTTTGTTCGCCTCCATAGAGGGAATACAGATTAGGGATGGAAGCTTGAGCTCAGAGAGGGACAGATGAGAGAAGAGGAAGTAAGTGTTTGAGCAGAACCAGCCATCCTGCAAAATTTCATCCTGAATAGGATGAAACCCTGAAAATATCTGACTGTATTACACCTTTCAGAGGTTTTAATAACAATCTTTTCCCACACTAATATGTACAGTTTTGTAAGCAATCAACAAATGTTTGATACACCTGTAGGAATTATTTGGGTCAATTGTCAAGGCTTAATTTACTTCCAGTGCTGCTGGACATTAACCTATTACCTGATCAGTAAAACGAGGCCTGTTTTATTCACAAACATTTTTAGTTTTGTTGACTTTTCTCTGACTTGCTTTAAAGAAAACAAAAGTCAGAGCTCCAGCCCTGCTTTGATTGTACACACTGGAGGGTTTTCAAAGCTGCTTCTATAGACCTGGATGAACTCACCGACACTGACATCATATTAGCAGCTTTTGTCAGGACGTGTGCGCCCACCTAGTCCTTCTGCACATACAACAACAACAACAACAACAACAACAACAACCAGCACTGGTTTACAGTAAAACTCAAACAACTTTGTCATGCCAAGGCGGAGGCCTAGAAACACACTGACAAAGGAGATCAGAGTAGCAAAATTAGCTACACTAAAAAGCTAAAGAAACTTGTATCAGTCAACGATCCTATGTCTGTGTGGAAAGGCCTGCAGAACATCATTGGCTACAGGAAACCATTCCTCCATGCAATGGAGAGCCATCAACTGGAAAGTGATCTGAGCGTATTTTACTGCAAATGAGAAGTAGGACTTCACATACCTCAGAGACACCACCCTACGGCACAGGCTGACCTGACAAAGCCCTGTCGTGGTGGCAGATATGGATTGCTCATAGATATACATTAACTGTCAGTCATGGAGATCCTGTGTTTCTTGCTCTGTTCATCATCAAACCAGGAGTTAAGTTGAAGGACTTATGTAATTTTATTATTTAGTTTTTAGATATAGGCTATTTTCAGATTGCTTTTCAGCTTTGGCCATGTTTTATGTTTGGCGGTACCTCTGGGTGTTTTGTCTTCATCATCAAACCTTGGCTAATACCATTGTGCAAAATACATGGTATCTAGGTGTCAGATTTCGACTCTCCCAAAGAAGTAAAAAATGGTTTGAGTGGTGGGGGAGAAGGAGAGGGCTGGCAAAACATTTTGTAATTTCAGTCATAAAATATGTTTTCAAATTGTCAAAAGAAGCATCTAGTAGTATATCACACACCCCTAAAGTGGAGCTTACATTTCCAAAATGAGCCACCTCAAAGCAGTACCACATAAGCAGACTTTACCTGCTGTCAGTAACACCTGTAACATGATTGATCGGGACCTAAGCGGGGCATTTATTATTTATCATGGTATATGGTCTGCTTTCATGTGGTACTGTGCCAATGTATAGTCTTATTATTCTGATTCTAAATGACTGGGTGTATGTAGCTCACTTCAGCTCAACAGCATATTGCGTCTTAGAGGAAAGGGGATACTACACAAAGCACAGTGTAAGGTTACACCCTGGGTAGTAGGCTACCATATGGAAAAATATCATTAAAAACGATGAGTGCTCATTTCTAAGTATTTGAAAATGTTCCAATCCTTAGTCTGTGTACACATACATAATACCCACAAACGTGGTCTTTTTTTCCTCTTAAGGCCCTTTCTAAAGGCAACTCTCCCCCCCCCCTTCCTTTTTTACTAAAATGTTCATTTAGGTGAACACACACCACATCCATTCTTCCAGTGATGATGAGGTGGACTTCAAAGACAGTGGCTTTCACCAGGATTCCTCTCTGCAACAAGTAAGAACTAAACACACACACACACACACACACACACACACACACGTATGTATGCACACAAAGCCAGTCCCACAGCCACACTGACTTAACTGATCTACAGTTATTTGATAGTCTTTCTGTGACAGTTTTGACAAAAGTTCAAGACGGGAGGCAAATTATATAAGTGGGCAATAACACTTTTTTTGGCTTTTATTACTCTGTACTCTGCAAAAAGAAATAATCCCCTTTTCTCACCAGAACAAGGCTACATGTTTTTGTAAATAGGCCTTTGATCACAAAATATTTTGACTATGGGTCATTCACAGTAATGGGCAATCCACACTGGCAGCATCCACTGCATCAAACACCTGCACCCATTATCTTTCGTGCAAGCTCACACACAGGTTGTGGACTAATGTGATGTGGCATTGTGGGTTAACAGTTCTTGTGCCAGAATACACTAGAGATGGGTGATAAAATGATTAGGCTATATATTGTGATAGACATATCCTAAGAAAGTCACTTTTGGCTTTTCCCGTTTAGGGGTCGCCACAGCGAATCGTCACACTGACGACTCGCATGTTGACATTTGGCACGTGTTTTACACCGGATACCCTTCCTGACGCAACCCTGATTCGAACCCAGGCCACAGCGGCGAGAGCGCTGTGCCTTAACCACTACATATCCTCATTAATGATAAGAAGTGTTTTCGATAAGTTGGCTGTGTCAGGAAAGCATATAAATTGTATAAGTTAAGTTCAGTTGCATGATCTAATGTTGTGTGCGTTCACCCTAAACACACATATGTACATATGCACACCATTCCCGGTGTGGGTTATGCACATCACATGACGCATCATGGTGCCGCTAGTATGTGTTGCCCTTTATAGTCTATAGAAACATCCCAATACCATGCCTCTACCAGTGCATTCACTTTTCTAACATCATCTAGAACACTTTAAGTATAACATTATTGACTTATTTTTAAAGCAGATATAAAGCCTTTTGGCACCTTACTGTAAATGCACATTTATTCTTTTTTCCTTTGCTATTAACCTGTCAAGCCTATATGTTATACATTTACTATTTTTACAACTGAGTATATGTATTTGCTTTTTTATGTACTGTAAGTAATAACCAGCTTTTTGTAGAGCCAAGACTATATCATTGTCGTTGATCCTGGGTTTTGCCAGGCCTTTTCTGATTATCAGATGCAACAAATGACGTCCAATTTTATTGAGCAGTTCGGCTTCAATGATGAAGAGTTTGCTGATCAGGATGATGTTGTGGAGTGAGTACTCATCCTGCATGATTTGCTGTATAAATATTATTGTGTAACACCAAAGGGACAGGACATAAAGACAGTTAAAACCTGGTGTGTTTGTTCAGTTATTCATTTAATAATTATATTCATTTCTATTTCACTTTAAAAAGCAAAAAAACTGCTGTTCTTCCTGCACTGCCCCATAATGGCATGGCATAACACAGGAGGATTGCTTGACTTCTTTCTTACTGATATTAAAATCTGAATGCCACTAGATGTCATTCAGGTTGTTATGTTTGCACCAGAAGCCTTATATTTAGTTTGCTACAGAAAATTTCAATAAAAGTTATTTTAAAATGACATTATTTCAAGTTATGCCTTTTTTTCTTTTTGATTATTGCCCTAAAAATGTGGCTTGAAGAAAAGAAATTATTACTGGCTTTTATGTTGTTGTGTGCTGTCCCTTTCTACTGTCTTTAGGGTGAGATTGTTTTGTGTGGGATAATTTTCTTCTAAGGTTGTGTGGGCTGTTGGAGATGGCTGGTAGTCAGTGATTTAAGAATGTTTACTTCACATTGAAGAGCTTGTGGGGTGAAGTAGAGCATTTTTATTTTTACATAGATCTTTAGTTTAGCATTATCAGACTGCAAACATCTCTTATGAAACTAATTGAGCTGGGTCACATGAGCAATATACAGTACCTGTTGAAATGTTCAGAATCTGTTCCTCAAGTCCTGGCATAAAGTTTTGTAACTTTTATTTGTTGATAAAAAAAAAAAAAGATTACCAAATGCATTCATGTATTTATCAAGATGGGAATTCTAGAGGTCAGATTCTACTAAAATACTTCAATAGTCCATTCAATAGTAATTACTATTAAGAGGTAATAACTGGCAACAGTAATAAGTGCATGTGTGTATATATGACACTATGTAATGCCAGTGTTAGAAAAGGTTAGAATAGGGTAAAGTGAAAATCTCAATGAGATCATTTGACCACATTGATTTGTGGAAAAAATGAACTATTTTGTGAAGTATAAGTGAGAGTTGTAGTTGTGTAGCTGATAATGCTGATTCTAAAAAAGTGTAAGGTATGTTGGGTGGCCTTCCCATTTGTGCAGTCAAGATGCCTGCAGACTATACTAAGCCTCGAAGAGTTGGCAAGAGGAAGACTTTACATGTCCAAGGTTTGAACACATGTACATTGAACATCTACATCCCTGTTGTGGTTTAAGGAAAAAAAAAATACTGTACACTGTTATAGAGGGGCGACTGTGGTTCAATGGGTAGAGCAGTCGTCTCCCATCTGGAGGGTTGGTGGTGTGAATCACGGTGCCTGCATTCCACATGTCGACTTGGGCAAGGCACTGAACCCCCAAGTTGCCTCCGATGGTTAGAGCCATCACTGTGAGTTGGCACTGCAGATGGCTGCCTCGGTTCTGTACCGGAAACAAATTCCTTGTGTGTGTAACATACTTGGCCAAATAAAGGTGATCATTTATTATTTGATTATTATCATGACTGCACAAATTTGGAAGGTAAAGTGGGTAAATGGGGATACAGTTATTCTCTTTTGTGTGATTTAGGGTTTTTTTGTGTGTGTTTTTTTTTTTTTAATTTTATTTAAAAGCTTTGAATAATGGGTAGGAATGCACAGATACCACTATTTTCCAGACCAAATGCAAGTATTTAAAATTGAGTACTTACTGATACCAATACAGGTACTTAATAATTGTGATTACATAAAATATACAACAGGAAGCTGTTAAACATAATTCTACCATTCCAAAATATCTGTTTGAATTCTCTAGTCTGCAACAGCTGGTCCTTCTCATTCCAATTCAGGATTAGACTCTGGTTCCAATATCTCTGTGCTGTCATGTTTCTAGCTACAGCCTTTACACAAGGTAAACCTTAAGAAGTCCTGCATTAGCCTACTATTCATTAGCTCCTATGCTGATTGGCTGAGGGTGAAGATAAGCCATTACTTCCAGCCAATCAGAGTAGGTGCTCATGAATAATGTAAATTTTAACTTCTGAAACAGCATGCCAGAGGACAGAGGGGAATCTGGACTGTTTGTAAAGGCTGGCTGAATGAAATGTAACATATCTTAAAAAGGGCTATAATACCACCTGGATAAAATATCCCCCAATCACGGAAATTACTTTTCCTTCCCCTAACGACCTGCTCAACCAGCGTGAGTTTGCTGTAATGTTGCACTTAAGTGGTATCAGTGCAAGCACAGGCAGGTGGTGATGAGATTGTTGGGTTTTTGTTTGTGACAGGCCTTTACCATAATCTAACTTTGTCTTGATCTCTTGGTATACTGCTTTTTTTTTCTCGTTGGTTGCAGCCACATTCACTTGATTCCCCAGAGGAAAGTTTGAAGCTGTTGTAACTGTCAAGAATGACCCCCTTATTTTTTGATGGTGCTTATTAAACACAAGTCTAATGGTTAGGGTGCAAAGAAAAAATAAGTATTTATTTTTTACCACAGACAGATGGGAAGATTATTAGTTTAGTAAAAGCATTTCCAGTGCTGAGAGTCCCAATTGTGTTTAGGTTAGTTGACCACCAATATTTGAAACGGCAGTCAGGACAATTAAATGCTTCCTAATCATAGTAGTTATAAAATCGGCATGCACAACCTATTTTTGCCTTTAAATTGTGTCCAGGGTGTATTTCTTGACTATGGTTTTATGGCGCATATGATGAGATGATGATGATAAGATACCAGTAAAGGTAATTTAAATGTTTCTTTTAAACAAAATAGTATGTATGTAATGTATGTATGTAAAACTACCATTTCCAATAATGATATTTTGTCTCACCAATGAAAAAGCATAAGTAAAACTAAAATGATCAGTTATTTATTTGGCCCCTATTTTGATAAGACTAATTATTGAAGTCAGTTTTTGGGCAAAAATGCCAGACATTTGATGCTTTTCAAAAGTGATTTTTTGCTGCCTTTCCTTGTGCTGTTTCTTAGCAGACATGGCATAGCTGTGATTTTTGTTCAGAAAAACCACATCAGCCTAAAGGAAACAAGCAATTGAGAAAATCAGATTATTTGATGATGAAAATAATTCAGTCACTGCCCTAATTTACATACAGGCTTATTTATGTATGTTATTGAAGTGTTGAAGGTTTTATTTTATTTTTTATTTTTTAATTAACCTTTGACAGAGCTAGGCAGTTTACTGCTGTTGCCAGGCCAAGTCAGGAGCTAGATTAATTGGGTAAAATGTTCCCCAACATGTTGGACTTTACCAGAAAATATTGTACAGTTTTAAATGTTGGGTACAAAATAATATATATGGAAGCTAAGCAGGGTTGAAAGTGGCCATTTTGTTTTCTTGTAAAATTCTGCAAGAGCCTAGGCTGATTCTTTGCATTTTCTTGCTTGACCATATTACAACTCAAAACATGCATTTAAAGAACTTGCTTCTTTAGAATCTCTGGCATGGTGCGAGGGGGGCGCGGGGGGGGGGGGGGTGTCGTCCGAGGGGGGGGGGGGGTTGTTTTCCCTGAACATGAAGTGTTGTAGTTGTCTGCCTGTGTATAGCTAAATATGTGGATTCCTAATGACCCTAACTGAACTAAACTCTGTTTTCTTTAACATTGCAGTATTCCCTTTGATAGAATATCAGACATCAATTTTTCACTGAATACAAATGAAAGTGTAAGTACTTTGGTTATTAAGATTGAATATATACCTACATTATACATTGGAAGAGAAAGTAAAATTTTTATGGAACAAATTAAAATGTGTTTGTTAATATGGTATGTCTTATCTTTCCTGATGTCACTGCTAACATTTATTTAGAAGCAGAATGAGGGTTAATTTTGATAAAATTAAACTTTGCTATAACCTGTATTTGAACCAAAACCTTGGGGCAAAGCAGAAATATCAAATAACCTAAACTTGATTTTTCTCAAATATTGTACCACTGGTTTTAAAAACACAGGGGCGCACAAATATAAGATGTAGGCATGCATGGACATCCTGTCATTTATACCCATTGAGATGGCTTTGTTTTGAGGCCGGCAGTGCAACAGTTTTGATATATGAACATGTTAACCTTTGCTTCACAACTGTGGCTTTTGTTCTGTAAAATCCAACCTTTGTTTTTATGTGCACGTGCTGTAAATGCACACTTTTTTTTTCTTAATATGTGGCCTACGTATATTTGTGTTTCCCTAGGCAAATATAGCTTTGTTTGAGGCACGCTGCAAGGAGAAAATCCAGCAATTTGAAGATGCTGGTTCCGATGAGGAGGATATCTGGGATGAAAAAGATATCACTTTCACACCAGAGGCACAAAGACGCCCCAGGTCAGCCACACACACACACACACATACACTTGTACAGTTATCTTTGTGAGTGCATGTAATGACATAATGCATTCCATAGCCCCTTACCCTACACTCAACCATCACATTTAAATGCCTGACTCTAACTTGTACCCCAACAACTAACCTAAACCTAATTCTTATGTGAACCCTAAAACCAAATATTTACCCTTAACAAGACTTTTGAATGTGTGTGAGAACATGAGGACTGGCCAAAATGTCCTCATGTTCATGCTGTTAAACTCGCACCCATCTTCACAATGGCCAGCCATACAAGTACACGAGCATGTGCAAACGCATGTATCTTTTTGTAATTTCAAACAGAATAAACTTGTTTTGAGACTTCTGCAACTTCAAGGTATCATTCTTCTTCTTAAAAACATATTTATGGGATGAGGTAGCTGTCAATGAAGATGTGTATTAGTCTAGGGTTGTCCATATACACAATTTTAATTTTTTTTTTTTTTTTTACTTTTGTGCAAGTCAAATTATACTGTATATATAAAGCATGTATTTTGTCCATGGGAATACAATTTAAAAAGTTACAACTTCAAGAAATTGCATATACGAAGTGAAAACTTTATGGTTTCTTCAATATGAATGCAAGCTAAGAGCAGTCGCTTGTCAAATACGTCACGGGGTCACAGGCATAATACACTGAGCAGAAGTTACCTTGATTCCACAAACTGCACACGTGTTCAGAGTTGGACTTTATTCTCAACTCTTGAAGCCTGATGGGTGAGTTTTGACAGTTTTGAAATGTATCTAGCCATATGTATTAAAGTTGTAGCTTTTTAAAGAATATTCTCACAGACAAAATGCACACTATATATTTTATATATGATTTGAATTGTACAAGAATTTACAAAAACGCGATTTTGTCTACAACATATTTATGGACAACCATAGACTAATATGCATGCATGGTTATTAGTACATGTCTTTGACTGCTGCTTTCACACATACATATTTCAAACAGCAAGCGCAACCAAACATAGTTGTAAAATATTAGCACCCTCAGTCATTTTGATGTGAAGCAGTCATTAAGTTGGTAAACATGACCAAATTGTGTGTATTTCTTCAGATTTTTACATTTGGAGCTTCAAGCTTTTGTTTCATTTTAATGTCATTATGGTATGTTGGAAATATTCTGGCAGAAGAAATGGAAAGAACACTTTATTATTGTTAATCTTACTGACTTGATTTCTTGGTTATTGTCAATAAAATGCCAAAATAGAAAGGTTGAATAGTTATCACATTTGCGAAATCTTTACTAGAATGCCTAAGCATTTCCTTGTCACTCATTGTTTAAAACCAAAGTACTTAAATAAGTAATATTGTAATTGCCTAACTTTCTGCTGATCGATTATTCAACTTGCAATGGTTGACACTAAAAGATTGTTGACTTGCAGCAGCTCCCAAAACCTTTTAGCATCTACCTAAACAGCCAAGCTGTACGAGTGTGGGCTTCACTCAGCTCCACTTTTATTGCACTTCCCAGAATAAATAGAGTATAGATTCAGATGTAAATTGGAAATAACCCTTGAGCTGTGTTCATTTCAGGAGTTCAGGCAGCACAGATAGTGAGGACAGCACAGACTCAGAAGAGGAGGATGTGAAGAGAGTTTCATTTGAAGCTTCCAACCCCAGTACAGATGACAGAATGGAAGTCGACACAGGTTGGTGTATCACACAGTCTGAGCCCGGTGCCTTCCTGATATTTTTTCTCTGAAACAGGCTAACGCATCTTCACAGGTTGTCAGAGGTGGGGGTCCATGAGGGGGTGGGATTGTAGGGGGAGCAACAGGATGGTGTGGGTGAGGGATGTGAATGGTTGCGTATTAAAACCTATAAGGTGATAATTCTCCTCGTCGGAGGTGTGGGGTGGGTTGGTTTCCTGTAGTTGGTGATGTTTTGCGAGCCTCTCCAAACTGTATCAAGGTCTTTGGCTGAAAACTGGTTTCTCATTTTTTTCAGCATAGTTCTTTTTTGATACCCTGATCTCTCTAGTCAGTGTGCTTCTAGCCCGTTTGCAAAGGATACTATACCCATTTCTGTAGGCCTCCACCTTAGTATGATGAAGCTGCTAGAGTTTTACTGTAAATCATGGTTGTCTGTATTTGGGCAGTTTGTGGGTGAGTTTTACTCCGTTAAAATCCCTAAGGCAGTAAGCCTGGATGTGTCGGTTACATGCGAATTATCTGCCTGGCCAGGTGTTGTAGCACCGTTCTAACACAGCCCTGATGTGGGAAGTAGAGCCAGTCCCAGGTAACATTGGGCGACAGACACAAAAAGGCCCTGGGTCGGTCGGGGCTCAAACCCAGAACTTTTTTGCTGTGAGGCAACAGCACAAACCACTGCCACACCATGCCACCCTACTTTTGACTAATTGTATATATTTTTTTGTTGTTATGCTTTTTCAGGGCCAGTGTGGACAGCGAACTTTGATGACATCCCCATGGACACAGGGACATCCACAGCTCCAGCCTCCAGCTCAAACAACCCTCCTGCCTCCTGTCCTTTGTCCTCCTCTTCCACAGAACTGCCACCAGAGGCAGCATGGAGCTCCTCTCCTACTGCCTCCAATTCTGAAACAGGGTGGGCTGACTTTTCCAACTTTGTGCCTGTCAGGTAGGACATCCTGACAGACTCAGTTTCTGTTGACTTCCAACTGCAGTAGAACATTCCTTTCTCTTGGACAGCATTGTCTTTGAGTCTGAATCATGAATATAAATTGTTGTTTTGCAGCCCCAAAGACCCTTTGAGGTGTAACTCTCCTGTTGCTATGGAGACCAGTATGGAGACAATGGATCCTCTAGGGGCCAATGCACCCATGCAGCCTGAAGGTGAGTTGTATACACATACAGGTCCATGTTGATGGAGAGTGAGACTTGTATGCACCCATTAGAGAGGCACCAATTGATCAGCGATCAGAAATGGGCAGTTTTCAGCATGATCTGCCTTGAACGGTGACCGGCCTGTCACTGACATTTCTAATTCTGTGCCAGTCAGATTTAGAGGTACAACAGTTCACAGTGCGGGTGAGGTGGACACCGCATTTCTCCTCAACTGTGGTACCACATCTCAAGTCTGTTCTTCAGTTTTGACATGAGGCGCATGATCACTTATGTTATGTAGGGATAGATTTTGTAACTGTTGACAAAAAAATACAAATGCATCAAGAAAACTACATTTAGGTCATGCAGCCTATACACATGGATCCTTCATGAGCTACAGAGCATAACTCAGCTCTCGGTGAGGAAGAAATGGAACAACTCGGGTCCAAGATAGGTCCTCTCGGTGGCAAAACAGACCTGGCCAGATGTTATTTTTGATGCTAGCAGCATGGCATCAAATATCAAAAATGCAACTGTGCAGACTATCCATGAAGCAAACAGGATAGTTTGCAAATTGAAGTCCAAAAAGGTGACTCTGAACTTCCAACACTTAGGCAAAGACAGAGCTCTTAAGATTATTGTGTTCAGTGATGCCTCATTTGGAAATCTTTCAAATGGTGGCACTCAAGGAGGACATCTGATACTTCAAATGGGTGCGAAAACTGGAGGTTCTTACCACCTTTGTGCCTGGCAGTTAGAGATAAGAGGACTGTACAGAGCACACTTACTGGTTAAACACTGGCAATGTCTGATGGAATTGACAGTGCAGTTTTTCTGGCCACACTGTTCTCAGAACTAACTGCAGGTAATGCTGAACATGCTCCACCAAATATCTGCATCACAGACAGACTTGTTGATGCTCTTCAGTTTACAGTGGGTACGGAAAGTATTCAGACCCCCTTAAAATTTTCACTCTTTGTTATATTGCAGCCATATGCTAAAATCATTTAAGTTCATTTTTTCCCTCATTAATGTACACACAGCACCCCATATTGACAGAAAAACACAGAATTTTTGACATTTTTGCAGATTTATTAAAAAAGAAAAACTGAAATATCACATGGTCATAAGTATTCAGACCCTTTGCTGTGACACTCATATATTTAACTTAGGTGCTGTCCATTTCTGCTGATCATCCCTGAGATGGTTCTACACCTTCATTTGAGT